TCCATTCTAGCGCTCCGGTCCTTGCATTCCGTCGGAAACCCTAGCTCGTCGGAGGGATGTGAAGCCACCTTAAGCGGCGTTGTGTTCAATTAACTGGAAGTCGAACTGCTGCTGCCGCTCTCTGTTCCTTCTGCTGGAATGTTTGCTGCTAGCTTAGTTGGTTAGGGGTTCAACAAGGGCAGGGGAGAAGACAGTGAGAGGGATGAGGTTAGTTGGAGAAGAGAAATTAGATTTTATTTTTATTTTATTTTTTAGTAAATGGGATAATGACGTGGAAAATAAAAAAGATTAAATTTTAAATTTTTATAATTTTTTAATTGACATGTCACTCATTTAACGATCAACTATTAGAGTTGACTGCCACATCAGAAAAAGTTAACGGAGGCTAACGGAGAGTGACCAAATTTAAACGGTTGAACTAATCTTAGTGACCATGAATGGAATAAATTAATTATAATGGCATAACATGAATTTTTTAGTAATTCTAATGACCAAACTTGCAATTTAACCAATTAATTACTTACCAACCGTGTAAAAGAACCCACCAAGGAGTTTTCTATTCCCACAACATAGCCGTCACTATAAATAGGACACCTCCTACTCACGCTAGACCAACTTTCACCAATTCACCCCACATTATTAGCGACGGAAACGTTTATGACAACTACCGTGGTGACTGTTTTTTTTTTTTTTTGCGTAAAGGGAGGCAACAGCCAAAAAAGGGGGAGACCCCGGGGTCCTTACAAGCTAGTAGAAACCGGCGTCACAATCCGACGCTCGAAAGAGACACCCCTAGCATCCTCTCTAACAATAGACACTAACTCCGAGGGCGGGTTAGCAACCTCATGCACCCCGTAGGGATAGACGAGACTGTGCTTCGAGAGCCAGTCCGCGACTCTATTCCCTTCCCGGTATACATGAGAGATGTTAACCAACCACTCTTGACCAATCTTCCTACGGATGGCTGAGAGAAGAGTAGCATGAGGATGAACCGGATCACTCCTGTTGTTGATGAGCTGAACCGCAAGCTGGGAGTCCGACTCCAAGCGCACCGCCCTGTATCCTTTCTTCCAAGCCATATCTAAGCCGTGAAACACCGCCCACAACTCAGCCAAAATAGCCGTGGCCGTCCCAAAGTTCGCAATGAAACCAGCTATCCAGTTGCCTGCCCAGTCGCGTAGCACCCCTCCTGCTCCAGCAGCTCCGGGGTTGCCATTAGAGGCCCCGTCCACATTAAGAGTCACCCACCCATGCATCGGAGGAGTCCACCCAACCATAACCGTAGTACGGGCAGTCGTCGGCCCTCTACCACAGGGGAGGGGTGAGGGGGCTTGCCACGCTTCATGCCACAACTTGCATTTAGCCATGATCGAGAACTCAAGGGAAGACGGAGAGAGAGCAGAACCTGGGCCTCTGAAGCAGAAAGTGCACCGATTCTTCCAAAGGAGCCAACACGCAACACTGAAACAGGCTGCCCAGCTCATACCCGAGCCCAAAGTCTCGCTGCTCCTGAGGTTTTCACGCAGCCAGTCACGCTCGCCCATGGAAAAGAAGCTTGACTGTAGGCCAGGCGGGCTGTGACGAAGCCAGAAGAATCTGGCCGCAGTGCAATCTCGAAGCGTATGGAGGATGGTTTCGACCGGCTGCCCGCAACACCCACATCTCTGGTTGTCCGTGACTTTCCTGGAGAAAAGGAGAGATTTAGTAGCCAATCTCCCCAAGAACGCCAACCACATAAAGCTCCTAATCCTCTCCGGAGTGGGCAGGCTCCAAATGGTCTTCCAGACTGCCTCGTCCGGGTCAGGCGGTCGCTGGTTTTGGAGAGAAAAGGCTGAACTAGCCGAAAATCTTCCGTCCGACGAGGCTGACCAGAAGATGGTATCATCCTCCGTGGCCAACCTGTCAACTCCAATGCTAAGGATCTTCTGGAAAACATCACTCGGGATGAGGTCTTCAAAACGCTCCGTCCGCCAAGTACCATCCTCCTCCACGAAGCTCTCGATCGGCTCCTCAATATCGGCCTCCGGGATGTCCCCGTGAGCAATCTCCTTCAGCGGAACCTGCGAAACCCAAGGATCCAGCCAAAACTTAGTGCGTTTACCATTCTTAATATTCCAAGCACAACCTTTCCGGAGAAGGTCAGAAGCTTTAGAAAAGCTTCGCCAGGTAAAGGAACTTCCCTGAATTGGGCGGATGATCTCAAGATTCTCACGCTGACGACCATACTTAGCCACCATAATCTGGGTCCAGAGGCTGTCTTTCTCCTTCATCAATCTCCAGCCACTCTTAGCAAGCATCGCGAGATTCGCTTGCTTAATGGATCTTAAACCAGCTCCACCCTGTAACTTCGGCTGTGTCATCTTGTCCCAGGCTACCAGATGCATTTTCGATTTATCCTCTTCGTCTCCCCATATAAAGTCCCTGTTCATCCTGTCAATATTCTTACAAACATTACTGGGAATTAGCTCAGTATTCATGCAGTAAGTAGGAAGGGAGGACGAAACAGATTGGACAACAGTAAGCCTGGCCGCAAAAGACAGCTTCTTCGCCTTCCAGGGAGCCAGCTTCTGTTGGATACGGAGGAGGAGGTTTTGATAGCGGCTCTGAGTGACCCTTCCATGAATAGTCTGAAGACCCAGATACTTCCCTAGCTCCCTCTTAAGAGGAATGCCAGCCCGTCTACTGTAGTGGTCCGCTCTCTGTCGATCCACATTAGGCGACACATACAGCAGAGACTTGCTGTAATTGACTCTTTGTCCGGAGCTGAAGCAGAAGTCATCCAAGCACTGCCTAATAACCCTGATCTGTCTCGTTTCTGCTTCTGCAAACAAAAGCAGATCATCTGCAAAAAAGAGGTGAGTAAGTGGCGGCCCTCCCCTGGTTAGGTGGATGGGCTTCCAGTTCCTACTCTTAACAGCTTCATCAATCATATGAGAAAGGCGTTCCATGCACAAGACAAAAAGGTAGGGAGAGAGAGGGTCTCCCTGGCGCACTCCCCGAGTCGGGGTCAGAGTAGGGGACAGCTCCCCATTCCACAGGATCCTCATCCGGTTCTGCTCCACACAATACATTATGCAGTTAATCCACGTACTGGGCAGCCCTACTTCTTTGAGAGTGTCACGCAGAAAATCCCATCTCAGCATGTCATACGCCTTCTCCAAGTCAATCTTCAGGATGAGCCCTCCTTTCTTCCCTTTTTTCCTCTCGAGAGTATGAAGCGCTTCTTGCACAACGATGATATTGTCCGTCGTCTGTCTGCCAGGGATGAAGCTACTCTGTCTTGGGGAAACCAGTTTCCTCATCACCGGTTTCAGCCTGCTGGTCATAGCCTTAGTGATAGCCTTCAAATTGACATTATTGAGGGAAATGGGCCGCAGCTGAGAAACGACTTCCGGGCTTTCCACCTTCGGGATTAAAACCACAGTAGACTCTGAGACCGTCTCTGGCAAAACACCTGTAGAGAAAAAATTAATGGCCAAATCTGTTAGAGCCCTTCCCACCACCCGCCACATCTGCTGATAGAAAACCGCTTGGAACCCATCTGGCCCGGGAGCTTGATAAGGCTTCATATCGAAAATGGCACGGTGAATGTCGCTGGCAGAGAAGGGGCGCAGAAGAAGCATTAATTCCCCCTGGTCCAGTCTGGGGAAAGCATTCTTTGGCAGTCTATCCTCGTAAACAGAATCATCCTGCAAGTATAAAGAAGCCAGAGAGTCAAAAACAAGAGCAGCAAGTTTCTGAGGCTCCTCAACCCAATCCCCATTAGCATCGCGAAGCGCTAAGATCTTGTTGCGTCTTCTCCGAACATTAACTTGATGATGAAAGTAGGCCGTGTTCCTCTCCCCAAATTTCACCCACTGCTCCCTAGATCTCTGAAACCACAAGAGCTCTTCCTGCTCGAGCACCTTGTAAAGCTCAGCCTCTAGTTTAGCATGGAGCTTCGCCAAGGCTGGAGAGAAAGAGTGAGAGAGTCTGAGTTCCACTCCTTGCAGTCTGGCCAACAATCTCCTCTTCTTCTGCTGCACATTCCCAAAAACATTCTTATTCCATTCCTTGAGTTTTTCAGCCAAGGAAGTAAGCGCTTGGGGAAGAAGAGCCTCCTCCTCCCAGGTACCTGCGACAAAATCATGAAAGTTGTTATGAGTGAGCCACGCTGCCTCAAACTTAAAAGAACGAGAGTCGGGCAGAGACGGCCCCTGGGTAGCCACAGTGGTCAGGATAGGATTATGGTCAGACTGGAGCCGAGGAAGATGCAACACCGAAGTGGAAGGGAAACACTCATTCCATTTCAGGTTACAGAGGCTCCGGTCTAGTCTGCTTGCTTTGTGGGATTGAAGAGAGTCTCCCCTCGTCCACGTGAACCTCGAACCCGAAAAACCCAGATCGATCAGCTCGGCTGAATTGATTCTGTCATTGAACTTTCGGCACCGCCTGATGGTAGCTGCTGAGGGTGGGCCCGACTTCTCCGCCGGGACGCGAATGGCGTTGAAGTCTCCTGTGAGGATCCAAGGCTCCTCCAACACTTTGCTTTGGTCGATAATGCTGTCCCACAGCGACCCTTGGAGGTGTTGTTGAGGCGAGGCGTATACCGCGGTCAGCACCCACGGACTCCCCCCACCTTGACGAACTCGAACTGAAATGTGCTGGTTGCAGGCCGTCAAAAGCTCAGTCGAGAAACGTCCGCCGTCCCAGCAAATCCAGATCCCTCCTCTTCGGCCTTCAGCATCCACCCTGATAGAATTAGAGAATCCCAACCTATCACAAACCCGATCAGCCGAATTCCCACTAATCTGCGGCTCCATCAAAATGATGAAATCCGGCCGATGTTGACGAATTGAGAGCTTCAGCGCGCGGGCAAATGCCTTGCTACCTGCGCCCCCCACGTTCCAAGCAAAAATTTTAATAGGAGTAACAGACGACATAATAACAAAAACTAGGAAAAGAAAAGACGAGAGGGAATGAGACAACCAGGTCTCGGAACACAGGGAGAGGCCGGGAGATCAGGCAGGGCCGCTAGCCAAGGTCGCTGAGGTGGGCGGATCGCTCATCGAATCACCGTGGCTCGAGGGGGGAGGAGGGACACCGCTCGAGCCCTTGGCCATCGGAAAATTCGTCGCCGATTGTGCCGCCTCTGTCCAAGCATTGATTTCTTGCAAGGTGAGAGATGCCATCCTCGATTTCGACTTTGTTTTTCTATCCTTCATCGGAGACCAAATCTGAAGGGGGCGGACCGGATTTAGCTTCGCTGGCGACCCCTTCTTCGACCGCCCCTTGGAACTCTTCTTCCCTTTGGTTCTGTTGGCCGTTGACGGAGAAGGATGATCGGCACGGCGCAGCTGCTCCTCGTTTTGGGAGGAGATTTGTATCACTTGCAGAACTGTTCCATTGGGCCCTGTAGAGACCGACGTGGGTGGAGGGGTGAGGGCCGGAGCCTTTGGGCTGCCCTGTGCACGCGATCCAGATGGAGGCACCTCGCTCGGCCTATTGATCAAACCGTGGGTAGTCAGGCTTTTCGGGCTGGACGTCGAGGCCATAGAGCCCTCTGAGGTGGGCTGGCTTTTCTTTGTGGTGACTCCCTTTATTGGGCCAGGGCCCAACAGGCCTTTCCCAACAGAAGGTCCTTCCTCGATCAAAATCTCCTTGCCATTCCTTCTTTCTTCCCCAACTCGCTTCCCCCCATTACCTTTTCTATCTTGAACCGGCGACCGTTGCGGGCGAATCGAGAGCTGCTGCGCCTCCCCCGAAATGGAATCTTCCGGCTCCCTAATTCTCAGAGCACTCTTGCTATTTTTGTCCACGGTCCCATGATGGAGGCTCCCCAGATCTTTCTCCTTTGCTTTAACGGAGCCTCCCAAATCTTTTTCCTTTCCTTTACCGTTCGATTCCCTCTGATTCCGCCGTCCTTTCCGCGTAACTAGCATCCACGGGCCGAAACCCGCGTTAGCTTCCGATGACTCCTCCGGCGAAAGGGTTTGGGCGCCGCCGACTACGAAATCAGAAGCCTTCGGAACAGCCGCTGGCCGGAGCAGGGGGCAGGACGTCGACGAATGGCCAATCTTACCGCACTCGAAACACACTGCAGGTAGATTTTCATACTCAACGGGCTGCCAATCATCGTCGAGCCAGATTCTTGGAACGAGGGGCCTAGACAGATCAACTTCCACTGCCAATCGGGCAAATTTTGCCCTCTGCTGGGTGAGAGTGTGATAATCGAGCTTGATTGTGCGTCCGATCAGGTTACCCAAAGTCGTCAACACCTCCTTGTGGTAAAAATGGATTTTCAGCTCAGGGAGATGAACCCATACAATCATCGTCTTTGGAAGGGGGTCCGAGACCTTGAATTTTGGAGTCCATTGTTGGACCGCCATGTAATGATCAAAGATCATCCAAGGTCCATCCGTAAGCGCTTTAAAATAGTCTTGATCATTGTGAAGCTTTACCAGGAAGCAGGCTTCATCAAGGTCCCTGACCTCCATCGACCCCGTCGGTCGCCATAGCGCCCTGAGGCGAGAAGTGAGGGCGTGGAATCCAATCTTGATCCCCAGAAGCCGAACCACCAAGGTACGATGCCACGGAGCACATAACCTATTCTTGAAATCCAAGGAGATATTCAGCGCTGGTTCCCCATTACGCTCACCGGGGATCAGATCGTGTTCCCCGACCGGGGTCCATTGAGCTGACAGCGGTTGCGGCGTAGTAGCGATCGGCCCTCCCGTGAGGGCGCTTGCATACGAGAACGACTGTTTCAGAGCCGTCGCCGCCTGTGGCGGTGTCGCAGTCGAGAGGATCATTTGGTTGTCAGGGATGTTATTCCCTGCTACCGCCGATGTATTAACGCCCGCCTGAGAATCTCTGACGACTGGATCCACTATCATCGCACTCGAGGATAGGTGATCCTTCAGAACCGAGGGCAGGACACAAGCAGAACGCATATCAGAAAGCTGGCCCGTGTCCGGCGGCCGGCCAGTCTCAAAGCCAACCGGCGCCGGAGAAGGCTGAACAGTCGAATCAGTTGAGAGCATTTTTCTTTTCACCTACGGCGGCAGAGTGTCTACCGTGGTGACTGTTGACTGCATGTGCCGCAGCGTGGACGGTATAATAGTAACTATGGGATCATTTGGCCGAGGGCAGGTCGTAAGACTAAAAAGTTCATTTAATTCAATTAGATTGGCCGATTTATGGATTTAAGTTATGAGTATTTAAAAATTTATAGTTTGATACATATACTTTTATAATTTATACTATAATACCTAAAATTATTTTTTTTAACAGAAAATGTCATTCAAAAATTGCATATTGATACCTAGAAGTTTTCAAAAAAACAGATTAGTACCTAACATTATCAAATTTACATAATGATTTAATATTTGGATAAAATGTATATCCATGAATCTATTTTTATCCAATTCATTAATCCACCAATCTATTAATGCAATCCACAAACCATAAATCAATTCACCAATCCAATCTATTTGCCACCTATAGGCTCTAAGTGACAATAACCAACTAGTTGTTGAAGGAACATGACCTCACGATGCATTGTAAGTCCAAAGAAGATGATTTGGGGGAACAGCTGCTGCCAAAGTTGGGATCCTTCAGTTGGCATTTCATCCCCAACTTTTTGGGGAAGACACTCTTCATCAGCTTGTTTTGGTGGGACAACCTCGGGGACAAATATTACTTCGACATCTACGTTCATAAGTAGGGTTAAAAGTTTGGTACCGATATTTGGGATTATCGAATACCGTACTGAATTTATCATTATAGGAATATTATTGAATACCTGCTTATTTTTTAGGGAAAAAATTATTTAGGGATTGAAATTGGGATTGATTTTAAAGTATAATTTGGTATTCGAGATTTCGGTATTTGATATTGGAATACCTATACCATACTTATTTCCACCCCTATTCATAAGAGGGATACAAATAGTTGCATCTAAGTTCAAAAGACGCTCTTTTTCCTTCTCTCTATTTCAGAACTCTCTCTATCTCTCTCTCTCTTTTTCCTTCTCCCTATTTCAGAACTCTCTCTCGCCCTCTTCTCTCTAGAGTTCCTACCTTGAGCCTTCGAGGGCTGTGTCACACACGAGATTCACAAGCTGACGAGGTTTAATCCTCAACCACCATAAAAAGTGTGTAGCATTCTAGAGGACCCCGAAAGCATGTAAACGGAGGTAGAACCTTGTAATGTAAGTGGATATTTCTTAGAGAATTCTAGACATGAGATATTTATGTAGAGAATTCTAGATGGTAGATCCTACCGTAGAATTAGATTAATTTTAGCCGTTAATTTTGGAGGTGAGGCCTATATAAGAGAACCTCCCCTCATTTGTATTCATCTAGAAATATTGCGAGCAATAACATCTCTAGAGAGAGTTCCTCCCAAATTCTTGTGATAGTGAGAGAGTGCGAGCGAGACTGACTTAGCTCTCAAAAGAGACTTGAGTGCTAAGGCCGCATGACAAGATTTAGTCTGTGACATTTGGTATCAGAGTCTGATTTGTGCTTGCAAGGAAGGAAGAGCTTCAACCTTGTTCAACCTCACCACCGCTTCCTCCTCTTCCCATCTCCATCTCAACCTCCACCCAATCGCTTCTCTGCCTCACGTTGCAAATCACAAAACACAGACTAAAACCCAACAAATCTCACCACAAATAACATAAAGCATACCAGAACATCACGACACCACAAAATTCTTAAAATATATAAAAAAAAACTCAAAACTGAACACAAGTTTCTTAAAGATACTACAAATCTCATAAAACAAACCACAAGTTCCCTAAAACACACTTGAAACCTCATAAAAACACAAGTTCCAACAAGTTTCGTGAAGCATACTTAAAACCTCATAAAACATACTACATATTTTCACAACTTCCTTGAAGCACACTAGAAACCTTACCATAAGTATAACGAAGCAGACCACAAAACTCATACTAAAAACACTACAAATACCATAAAATATACAAACGCAAATTTATAAACCAGACCAGAACATCACCACACCACAAAATTCATAAAACATACAAGAAAACTAAAAGCTGACCAAAAACCTTATAAAGTAGATCACAAGTTCTCCGCAACACACTAGAAACCTCATAAAATAGACTATAAGTTGTGATATCCCAGTCGAGGAAAACGCTATCAAATGCAAGGTGTCTCAGTCCACAAGTCGAGTAGACATGCTAAATTTTGGGGACGAAATTTTTATAAGGGTGGAGAAAATGTAACATCCTGATTTCTAGGTAAGGTTCGACCGGTAGTCGAGTCTGTACGGATTGGGAGAAAATTTATTTTAATTAATTTCTATTTACTAATTAAGGATAAATAGTTTTTATCCTTAAACAAAAGGAGAAGATAAAATCCAAACTCTTTACTTCCCCCATCCCAATTACTTCCCCCGTTCCTCCCTGTAACGTTTGTTTCCCTACCCACGTTCTGCATCTTCCGCAAGGAACCAAAACCCACCGCTGCTCATCAAGCGCGATAGAGAAAGAGGTAGTTCTTATGGCCGGAACCAAAGAGTTAATAGGGACGAGAAGGATTCTAGCAGAAGGATGAATTAGGGTACAAGGAGGCGATGGAATGGTTCGTGGGGTTGGAGAAGCAGTCCGCCTTGGACTCCATGTCGGAGCCGCGCGCTTGTGTATTGCAACGCGTACGAAGATGGACAAAGGATCAGAGTTGGCGTGGCTTGAGAGAGGGAGATAGCAGTACAGGGGTGTGGGTTTAAGAATGCTCTCGTGTGTGCATCATCGTGTATGGGTTAAAGAATGTGATGTGTCGAAATCACCAGGTTGAGGAAGGATTAGTGGATGTGGATTTTAAGAAGAGGCAGGGCGAGGCGAGCAGTCGCAACAATGTGGACGAGATCTCAAGGAGGTCAGCAAGGAGTTCGAGTTAGTGTTTGTTTAGTTATTTATGTTTATGAATATAATTGGAGGTTCAAAGATTAAGCTTTCTTGACTATGTATTTGAGGTCGCCCACGTGTTTAGGGTGTTGCTTTTGATGTTTTTTCTTAGAAATGGTTAAGTTGTATTTGAATTTTGGGCTTTGTTTTTAATCGGCTCCGGAACCATGTGTATTTCATTTGGGTAAAAGTATCGGGATGTTTCATTTTGGTATCAGAGCCGACACTCCTCTGTTCATTGGTCTCCAAAGAATACTGGAGTGACGATTTGAGGTTTTCAAGGCTTCTATTTTTTAAAAAATGAAAGGAAAAAGGTGTTTCAGGGTAAATGTTTGGCCAAACGAGTCAAAAGGTTCTTTTGAGAATCTCCAGTATACTCTAATCATGAATAGGAAAATGAATCCATTAGGCCCGCGTGACTATGATACGCCTCGGGAAGGAGAATGAGAAGATTCCTAAGAGGATCGTTTAGTGAACCCTTTCATGAATGAGAAGAGGAGGTTCAAGGCAGCTTATATCCTACGGGGATGCGAGCTAATCAGAATAAGATTCAGGAAGATGGCAAGTATCTAGTACGTCGACAGGTAGTAGCCAAGGAGCTACTGCAAATGGCGGCAATAACTAAAGGGAAGGATGCAAAAAAGGTTCGTTGAGTTCGCGAGAATCGAGCATATGGGCTACGATCCAAGGAGTAGTGGAGGTTAGACTTTAAGCAACACTAGGGGCACATAAGCAAAGCAATGAGGAATTCATTAGGTCATAGGGAGCATGAAAAGATTTCAAGGGATCAATGAGTCCAGGCTTGGAGGAGGCTCATCCATATACTTACACTGACTAGGGAATCCTTTAGGGATACAGTACGTCCCTAAGAAGAGGAATCGTGGACTTGGGGAACTTGGCCGACGGAAAGTCTTGGAAATGAAGGAGATCACCATCGAGATAAACGACGTAAAAAAAAGGTTGGAGCAAGCTCACTATGTAGCTAATAAGTTCAAGATAGAGGATAAGGTATGCGAGAGATTCCTACCAGATGGTAATACATTCCATGGTAGCGAGTCAGGCATGGAGCCAGAGGGTCTCCATTGCCCAAGTTTAAATAAGCCACCAGGTGGTGATACGTGCCACAATTTTCAAAATTCAAGTTAATGGGACACCATTGAGAGGGTAGCCAGGCGTAAGTATGTGAGGCTAATGGTGGAGCCAACTAAGTCGAAGTATGAGGAGGGATTCGAGAGACCCTACGAGTTACAGTAGTCATGGGAGGTCAAAAATTCAAAGGACACAAGGAGCATCGTGGGACCAAGGTAGATTGAGAGTTAGAACTTCGAAACTTTCCCAAGAAAAGTCATCAAGTCCGCCGAGGATGGACAAGAAGGTAGGACGTTCGAGGGAAATTCTAATTAATATCAGAGAAAGCAAGTAGAACCTTTGGGGAGGAATTTCAATGGATACGATAAGGAGGACTTGCATAACATACCAAGAAAGAGCGAGAACGTAAGAGAAAGTTTGGTGTAATTCCAGGGAGTTTAGTGGCTAAGTCAAAGGAAGTCGTCTCAAGGCCATAATGAGGGGGAGAGACGTTAGTGGCCTTGGGAAGTGTGTGAAGGGCGAAAGGACATGTAAGTCCCTAGACAAGGAGTTGAAACGAGAGTGAATTAGGTTACAAGGAGGCGATGGAATGGTTCGTGGGGTTGGAGAAGCAGTCCCCCTTGGACTCCATGTCGGAGCCGCGCGCTTGTGTATTGCAACGCGTACGATGATGGACAAAGGATCAGAGTTGGCGTGGCTTGAGGGAGGGAGATAGCATTACAAGGGTGTGGGTTCAAGAATTCTCTCGTGCGTGCATCATCGGGTATGGGTTAAAGAATACGATGTGTCACAAATCACCAGGTTGAGGAAGGATTAACGGATGGGGATTTTGAGAAGAGGCAGGGTGAGGCGAGCAGCCGTAACAATGTGGACGAGATCTCACGGAGGTTAACAAGGAGTTAGAGTTAGTGTTTGTTTAGTTATTTATGTTTATGGTTATGAGTATAACTGGAGGTTCAAATATTAAGCTTTTTTGACTATGTATTTGAGGTTGTCCACGTGTTTAGGGTGTTGCTTTTGATATTTTTCTTAGAAATGGTTAAGTTGTATTTGAATTTTGGGCTTTGTTTTTAACCAACTCCGTAGCCATGTGTATTTCGTTTGGGTAAAAGTATCGGGATGTTTCATAAGTTTTATAAAGCAGAGCAAAAATCTTATAAAATAGACCACATATTTCCTGAACCATTTCATAACTTTTTGGTAGATATGGAAGCTTTTTAAATGGTAAACTTAATTAATAATATTCATATATTTTCAAATCATCACATTAATTGTTTGTAACGGTTAAATGAACAAACTAGCAACCATATCATCCTATTAGGCACGAACATTAATATCCACATTATCTCATTAATTAATTTCCAAAAAATCCCAACAGTTGATAAATAGTCCCACTAAAACATTTCAACTATACTCTCTACACCCCATCTCTATAAAAACCAAACCAGCCCTTCACCACGAACCAAAACACAACTCAAATTATTAGAACGAAAAGAAAACACATCTATGACGACAATGGATATAGTAGCAACAACAATCTGGATGATTGTAGCAACAATAGTAACGGGACCTTCATCACTAGTACAGAAGGTCGAAGGAGCGATCATGAACCCGACGAGAGTGACAGTAATCAACATGTTGACAGCAAAATCAGACCTGATGATACATTGTAAGTCGAAAAACGACGATCTGGGGGAACACGTGCAGCCGTATCAACAATCTTTTGCTTGGAATTTCAGGCCCAATTTTTGGCAAACGACCCTGTTCTTCTGCTCCTTCGCTTGGCAAGGCAGTGGTGACTCACATTCGTTTGACATCTACGTTCAGAGGAGGGATCAGAGCCGCTGCGTTGATTGCAGATGGGCCATTACCGAGAACGGACCTTGCTTGTACACATGGAGGAGCTCAGATTATGATGTTTGTTACCCTTTTAAAAATTAGCTATAGCCAGGCAATTTGTTAGTGTCTTTGATTGATCCCATTCCTTCAATAAAACTTACAAGCTTCTCAGTATGGTTGAGATATTTAGATGGGGCATTAGTTAGTCAGAATTTCGGTCGAGCGGGGATTTCATATACTCAATGAGAATGATGTCAGGAAAATTTTAAGTAAACAATTTGAAGGCGTGATCTAATCACTTTTTTAGAGTTTTTTTTTTTCCTCCTGTTACGAATTGCTGGTAGGAAACATCCACGAGTCCCTCCTCCAATAACAATTTTTCAGATTTTTGTATTTGTGACGCAAATAAGGGAAAACTTGGAAGAAGAAGAACTCTATAGAATGAATTATGACTGTAACAGTCTTTTATCAAAGGAAAAAACAATCCGAACAAATCATAATATACAACATGAGGCTGACAGCGATTGCGATACCATTAACACTGGAGTTGACATTTCATCCCTAATATATGTGGCACGACGTGTAAGGCTTTTTTTTAATAATTTGAGTTATTAGTTTACGTGTTCAAGTCCTCGCGATCTTCAATATTAACTAAACTATCAAAGTGTTATCATATAGTATGACGAGTCTTTGCAAACTTCCAGTCGAGAAGATTAATCAATCATGGGTTGGTTATAGTAATGCTATCCTTTCAACATAAGATTCGGGTAGGGTTAATGTTCACCACAAATTGATAATTATTGATCACTGAACAATGAGTAGCGTACCTGTTTTCATTTCCTTCTATGCCTACTTACCTAGTTATGCAAACTCCTTGCAATTAATTAATCATACGTGATGGATCAGCTTGCTGAATGTTAGTATCATGTTAATTATGAATTGTAGTACTACAATCATATTTATAGCTAGTTATGATTTTTGCAGTCATAAATTTAGGGGGAAAAAATATAACTTTATCCTTCATGTCTCGAATTCTTAATTTATTCGTCATATATCACCAAAACCTCTTATTGTTGAAACTCACTAACTTCTTTTTATCCTAATAATGAATTCCATGAAAATAATATATCAAACTTTGAGCTTCAACTACATGAGTGAAGAAATAATCTACACTAAGCAGTTACAATAGGGCAGCTGAGAGGTAACTTAGCATTTTTTTTAGGGTTATAGGTATAATATGCCCTTCTACTATTTAGTTTTATCAAACATGCCCCTAGACTATTTTTTATATCAAACATGCCCTTATACTTTGGAAAAATGATCAAACATGCCCTTCTGTTAAAATTTCCATTAAAGAAATCGCCAACCATGGTTGAACAGAGATGTAGATGACCCGACATCGGCAAATGAGAGCGAAAATGTCAGTTTTGTTCCCCATTTTATTTTTCTAGGTCTCGTTAAAGTGAAATTATTAGAGGTATTTGGCTCTACAAAAGAACCCAAAAAATTTTAAAGTGAAATTACCAAGGATATTTTAGACATTTGTGTCGCCCAAACCAAGGTACGACCATGGTTGACTGTTTTTGGATAAAAATATTAACATAAGGACATGTTTGATCATTTTTCTAAAGTACAAGGGCATGTTTGATGTAAAAAATATTAGTTGGAGCAAACAACAATAACCGCTATTTCATCCAACATACGTCTATTTATTTTCCATTGGATTTCCAGCTTTCATTAATGGAATTTTTTTCTATATAGTGGGTAATAGCTCTGGTTGCTCGTTATTCAATAATTCTTGTCTAGGCAGTTTATACCATTCATAGATAGTGTTTTGATCTAAGATTTCAATTCTTCCAAATTTCAACAGTAACATATTGTTCCATGTCCAAAATATTTTAGAATCATGGTCAGTGGAAGAAATAACTCAACATTGTTGCTACATAAGCGTTCATTGCAAGTGTTAAAAGGACTTTGTTACGAGACACGTGAAAAATACTCTTCGGTATTTAATGGGAACAAAATTATAAATAATTACTTGATAGAATATATTGAGATTGATATCATATGAATGCATCTTACAAAATTTTCAAAATATGAAAACACATTGAAAGACACTGCAAATGGTTTAACATTTTCGTATGATATTAAAAAAAACCGAACTCATATTGTTTACAATCATGTCTGCACGCGTCGTTTCACAACCATATTTTTAGGGCTGGGAAACGGTGCGGTCTGGTCCAGAACATACCATATAGACGGTCTACGGTCCAGACTGAGAGACTAAAGTATAGACCAGAAACCAGATCAAATGCATACTATATGGTCCAGATACAGATAGAGTGATAGACAACAATGAACAAAAAATGAACACTTTGTTAAGTCAACCACATTAAAAATTGAACCAATAACCGAGGGAAAAAATTGTTTTTTGCCTTAAAACATAAAATCCAACATGTATGAATAATTTTGACTCCCTAAATCTTAGTAAATAACAAATATACAAAGTCAAAAAATCCCAACTCGAACCATAACATCACAAACATTAACATAATGTCATATGGAGACACAATCGTCTCTATTCTCTAGTGAAATGTGGTTGTCAATGAAGGAGGGGACGAGATTCTCAAAATTAAGGTTGAGACTTGAGTCTCGTTGGGGGAGTTGGGAGAGTGGTCGAGTGGGATACTAACATGTATTGGATGTATTGGAAAGTCGGCTAGATCCACAGTTTGGTCCGTGAAACCGCGGTGTAGACCAGACCAGACCAAGAGTTCAAAACTTCATATAATACAGACCATGGACCAGACCAAACCATTTTTCACGGTTTACGGTCCGGACCAAACCGTGCGCTCTGGTTTGGTCCATGATTTTTCAAACAATCTGGTATATTTTCCCAACCCTACATATCTACACAATATATAATAGCAGGAAGGGGAAAACTGTTTCTCCATTTCAAATTTCCTGCAACGAGAGTGAAAGTAGGAAGAACATTTTGGTCTTCACAATTACTTTTTTTATTTATTCATTAAAAAGACACGTACTGGATTCGAACCATGACCACTTTAAAAAAAAGGCAACGATCATAACCAATCACACTAAGTACATTTGTTGTATATTTTTAAATTAAAAACATATAATAGCAGAGAGGAAAAAACCCTTCCCCCATTTCAAATTCCCTACTCCAAAAGCGTTCATAGGAAGGGTAGAATAGGGAGTGTCAATTTTTTTCACTTTCCTCTATGTAACGGGCCAACTTACCGTACACATGCGGATTTAAATGAGCCAATGAGTGTCAATTTTTTTCTTTAAGTCCTTTTATTTCTCTGTGTTGGTAAAATATATATGAAAGGACAAAAACAATACTCCTTTTTGTTGATAAAAAGAAAAACTTTAACAATAAACTAATGCATGGATTCTAATTGGCTAACCACTATCCATAAAATAAAAGAGTTGAATGAGTCTGATCTTCACGGGATTTGGCCATCAAGTAAAACAAATGAACATCATGGGTTTGCCATTCTAAAATAAACTATTTTTTCTAGCATAAATACATATATTTTAGCCACTAAGATATAAAAAATAGCATAATATATATTATGTATTTTTTATATCTTAGTGGCTAAAATATAATATATTTTAAAGTTATTAAATGGTTGAACCTCGACCAATCCAATTAGTCTAATTTTTATCATTTTAAATATATATTATATAATTATTTGATATCATAATGATTAAATTATAGTATATTTTATAGGGAATTGTTTATTTGTTAGTAAAAAATTAAACATAAAGATCGATTTGGTTATTTTTAACATTAAAACAATACTAAATATTTTCAGTTTTCTTTCAAATTTCTATGGTATTATTCCCGAATCAGTGATGTGCAAATGGCGAATTGCAGTCATCTCTTTTCTTTCACTATTTTTTTATATTTTAAAATAGAAAGTTTAAAAGTAAAGAATAATTAGAGTTTGACATGAGTAAGTTAAACATGCTGAATTTCAAGTTGTAGCCCGTTTTGATCTAAGTCTAATTTATAATCACATGGTTCCCTGATACCCAATAAAAATCTCAATCCAAACCAGTTCGGCAGGTGAGTCCGTGTTTACCACCATTTTTTAGGGATACAGGGTGTTAGAATATGACTTGAATTTGATTTGGGTTTGTTTTGTGTTTGGGCCTATTTAGTTTGGGTTTGTATTTGGGCTTTGTTTGACCTTTTCCTTGTATGTTTGGGAAAATGTATTTGGTTTTCTGTTTGGGATTAGGAGAAAAGTTCTATAAATACTCTTTATCACCCTAGTCTGTAGTAAAGGTCAGTCAGGTTAGTTTGTTTGGTTTGTCCGTTTGGAATTTGGTTTGTAACCTGTACTCTCCTCAAATTAGTGAAATTTGTCCCCCCTGCTCGTGGATTAGCTAGCACACATTGTGTTAGTGAACCACGTTAAATTTGTGTTCGTTCGTGTTGGTTTGGATTATCGATTGCCACGCTTCTGTTCTGACACAGGGACAGCGGTTCCTATACCAAATTGTGTTGTTCGTTCTTGATTTATTTAGAATTTATCATGGTCTGGCAAGATGAAAGTTTTATAAAGCAAATTAATCGGCCAACAGGCCGAGTAAAAGCTAGCAACGATTGTGAGATGCTCATTTCCCGGAAACCGGCGGGATATGCGATTTTTTATTCGATTTTCTAGAATTCGGTTTCTATAAAACTTATTCCACCTCATCATATCACCAGAAACTATAAAGTTTCACAAGGTAACATGTACTTGATTTTAGTTCATAAGGCTGATTTTTCATTCGTTGCATCATCCATGTCTCTTTCCTGCTAAAATTCACTATCTTTATCACGTGTTTAAAAAAAAACTATACAAAAATAAGCTATACACCCCATTACAGTATCAAATTTCATACCTCACCTTACTGCCGGAGCCATGCTAGTTTTCATTTGTACTGCTGACTTGGCAACCACGTCGCTGAAGGTAGAGTACAGGTCAGCCTTCTTCGTCCAAATGGAAAATAAAATAAAGGGAAAAGCAACAGACCGATATAAAATACAAATTTTACGTTCCAATTTGAAGAATATATATACTGAGAATAAAAAAAAAGAATATATTATACTTATTTAAGATGACCGATTTAGTGTGATTAATTTACTGTACGAAACCCATTATTCTAGGTGTTGACTTCATTAACCAATCAATTTGCTTACAATATATGGTTAAATTATACACTAGTTAAGAGTCTAAGATAGATTCTTAATAATTGGGCAACACACATATATATAGTTCGTGAATATGATATGATGATTCCTTTTTCTTATGTTCTTGTTGGTCTTACTTACCATAATATTGTCGTGTTCTATCATTTATTTAATTTGGTTGATCAGTTGGATGATATTTTATAGTTGTATATATATGATTTTATGATGGTGTTTATTATTATTATTGTTAATCATTAGAGTGTTTTATAGTTTTATCTTCCAATATTGAATCATTAGCATCACCAATCTTAATACACGATGTCATTGATTTTGGAAACACTAATCATTTCCTTATACATCATAAAAAATAAGTTCATCATCTGAAGTAATCTACACCAAGCAATTACCACATTGAGGTTGAATCAATTTTTATGGTTATTTCATGATTAGAATTTCAGGATGCGTCTTCTTAGTGATTATAATTATCGATATTGTATATCTCGAGAATTGATTCATCCCAATTGTCCATGTTATGTGTTTATATCATTGATTGTTCTAGTTATGGATATGACTCCCATATTGATTATCCACTTAACGTATTTAGTTCCTACTCATACCTCATACACACCCACTAATTTAAGAAAATATATTAAATTAAATAAACTTCAAAGGCCACTGATTAAATGTGTAACAAGTTGTGGGGAAATGCTAGCAATTTCAAGTTGCACGTTTATTTTAATGTATTTGTTGTGTCAATCATGCGATCAAATATGGTGGGCATTAAAGAATGGAACACAAAGTAGGAAAAAATGAAAAGGTTTTGGTTTGCCCAATAAAAAACTATATACCTCCTCTTTGGTTGATTATAATGAAAAGATGACAGCTAGTTGCTAAAAGAATCCAAAAATCAATGGTACAATTATGCATAAATATAAGGGATTAGAAGATTAGTTTAATACACTAATTATTAAAGGCAGCATAAGACCCGGTCATTAACAACCAAAGGTTTGTTGATTAATGATTCTCCCACCACACACTTATTATATTAGTATTTTTTATGGATGAATTAATGTATGTATATATACTTTTTTTTTAAATATCATTTCCCAACTATCTTTCATTTGCTTGTCTTTTTCCTAATTTTATTTGTGTTACCTTAAAATTTATTTATTACATTATGGTATCCTCTATTTCTTCTGGAATCTTCCCTTTAATGATTAGCATCATAAACCCAAATAAAATTTGAGGCTACCAGGATTTGACCATCCTTGCTATTTGCTAAAGTGGAGAATTTTGATAACATGCATATATGGTTTTATCATTTATGTCATTTAAATAGTTGGTAACTCCTTTATTCAACTATAGAGTATTCTAAGTAGTAGAACCCTTGGCAAATGCATTCTTAGAATAGATTCTTACTTCTCATCCGAACTGGTCGAGCGACTTATTGAAAATTTTCATCCGAACGACATTTGAGATAAATTACCGGAGATATTCATGTAGCAAAGTCTCATTGGCGAACTTAGATTTTCCATATACAAGCGCTCGATTCTTGACTCTTGAGTATACATGTTACACCATGAAAATTCATTTCATTCTAAAAATGAACTACTATGTATAATTCATTTCCAAGTGTATTACTCTATAAGAAATCTCACACTAATATCTTTTCATATAAGAATTTAATTGAATTCCAAAATCTTATTTGGAGCACCTTCAAAGTTGAATTAAGTTAATTTCTTAAGGATTTACCATTTAAATTATCGACATGTAACTCTTTCGGCACTTCAACAAATTTATTATTGATTTTTGTCAAGAGGAATTTTACAATGTTATATAGTATGGGTGCTATAGGTTTTTGCCTTTATAGTATAACTTGAAATTGTACATTTAACGTTATGGTACAACTTCAGATTGTACCTATACTTTTTGCACAAATTCTTTTATGGTACAACTTGTACCTTTATATGATGGTACAATTTCAAGTTTTAAAATTGTACCATAACATAATGATACAAATTGCTTTATGGTACAATCTAAACGTATACATTTAATGTTATGGTACAATTTCAAGTTGTACATTAAAGCAACGATACTATACTCTTTTGTCAACGACCTGATATCTGCAAATTTTCATAAATACACCATCTAACTTCCAAATCTTCCGAACAAACTTCATTGGACCTATACGTGAAAGAGAATTAAAAATGAAAGAAGAGAGAACACATGAACAAAAATAGCTAGACAAAGAGAGAGGCAAAGAAAGTACAACCAATATATGAGTCACATATATTTATATGTTGCACAACTTAAGTTCTGTTACATTAACAACTACCCAAATTTAATAATATGATTGTAATCTATGTGTAACATATATTGGGATAGAAAAAGTTTCTTAAAATGGAGTATTTCTCATGCTTAATTCAGAGGGCAGCATTAGACAATCAGGTTCCTTATCACCCACGTTGTAAGGCACTAGAGATCACTCATCTGTGTTTCGCAGATGATCTTCTAGTGTTTACAAATGGGTCGATTAGGGGAGTGGCAGGGATTAATAGAGTACTAGCTCAATTTTATAGAGATTCAGGTCTCCGCTCTAACCCTGCCAAATGTCAGTTGTTTTGCTGTGGTACTTCTGTTGAGGAGCAGCAATGGATATCAAGCTTTACTGGTTTCCCCCTTGGTAGTCTGCCAGTTCGCTATCTCGGCGTTCCCCTCATATCAGGTAAGCTCACTTCTGCTGATTGCTCTGTGCTTGTTGATAGGATAACAAAGAGAATTAGTACATGGCAAGCGCTGAAGCTTAGCTATGCTGGTAGATTACAGTTAGTCTCCTCTGTTATAACTAGCATTATGCAATATTGGATGGCCCTGTTTTTGCTGCCCCAAAAGCTTTTAAAAGCTATTGAGAATATATGTAATCATTTCCTGTGGGGGGTGGGGGATCGTAGTTTGAGGAAGAGGGTATTGGTTGCCTGGAAATATGTTGCTCTGCCTAGAAGAGAAGGGGGATTGGGGATAAGAGATTTTAAGAAATGGAATCAAGCTTGTGTAATCCGCCATATCTGGAACTTGTTGGCAGTTTCTGGGTCGCTATGGGTGGCTTGGGTGAAAAAGTATCGGTTAAAAACAAGGTCTATATGGGAAATTACAGGGCAATCAGCAGGGACTTGGATATGGAGGAAGATTTTGAAGAGCAGGGAGGGTGTTCAGTCCCATATATCTGGCAGTGGGGAGTCTCTTGCATGGGATAATAGGGTTCTACCAAGGTATTCTGTAAAGCTGGTGTGGAAAGCAATTAGAGAGTCCCAGGAGGAGGTTGACTGGTACAAGGTGGTCTGGGGAAAACCCTTTAGCCCGAAGCATAGCCTGTTGTTATGGCTTGTGATTCTTAATCGGATAACAACTAAGGAAAAATTGCAGAGCTGGGGTTTAACTGATGACAGCTCTTGTGGTTTGTGTCCGGGTGGGATTGAGACGAGGGACCATCTTTTCTCAGGGTGTTCTTATGGCAGAAGTGTCTTTGTTGCTGTGTTGTCTAAGTTTTGCAGGTTCCCTGAGTGTTCTACATGGCAAGATCAATTGCAGTGGGCAATCAGACAGTGGGCTGGGAGTTCTGGTGGATGCTGTGAGGGCCGTCTGAAGTGGTCCATGTGTGTGAGCTATATTTGGCGTGAACGTTGTAGTCGTGCACATGATGGAGTGTTCTGTCCCCCAAGCAGATTGGCAGGTCGAATTGAGGATGAGGCGAAGTGGACCCTGGCGACTAGACTATCCTGAGTATGCTGATATATTGTATAGATAGGGTTTGTTTGAGCTGATGTATAGAGAAGCATAGATACCAGATTTGTTGACTTTGAGAGGGGTTTTTGCAGTTGCAAGCCCTAGTGCTTAATGCAAATTTTGATTAACCATAAAAAAAAATATATATATAAGAGAATGGGAATCTCAGTGGAAGAGGCTAGGAAACAAAATTACCCTAATTGCTATATTATATTACCAACTCCTATAGATAGCCATTAATACTCAAAGCATATATATATATATATGAGACCTAAAGTAGATGAAATGCATGTTGTCTTATCATTGTTAATTTGAAGAACATGGGAATTAAACAAACATAAAATCTAGCTAGCCTTTGCTGTTTGTTGTTGATGATGATTATCATTCCTCAAAGTAATCTACCTAACCTCCCATCAAAAGTACATATAATCTTATTCATTAACTAGGTAATTAACTGTTAATCAAAATTTTAATATGTAGTTGGAACAGAGCTAGAGCAGTAATAATTTATTTCCCCATCCCCTACTGTCAAAAGGGAAGATACTAGTTAAATAATCGCAATTTTCTTTCTTTAATCGCTGCTGGCAATGACTTTCAAGATTCTAACTCACGTTTTCACTGGATCAATCAATCATCCGAGACCGCAACATTTCGTCAATATTAATACATGATAATGATAAGAAGGGGGAATAAATCAAAATCTGGGTTTCTAGAAGGGACAATATTGATCATGATGGGCATGGAATTCATCACATGATCATGTGTAAATGCAGAAAATTAACATGGGAGCCAGGCAATTAATCCCACACCACTCCCCTTTAATTGCATCAAATCTGCCATATTTCTCCTCTCCTTGAAAACCATGGAAGCCCTAAATGAATTAATGGTTTCATAGGTAGGTATTGATTCAGAACCTATAAGGCTGGTTCTAAGTAAATCTCAGCAACCAGAAACCCTAGCTGGCTAGTTTCTTGAGTTGGTCGTACGTGTATATATCAGCAGCCAAAAATATAGGGCGAATTCTATCGTATCTCTGTTCGAAATCATAAAAATGTTTCTGAAATCATAAATTTAAGGATGATTATTTATCATACGAAATCAGAATACTCAAAGTCCAACGAAATCAGACTAACATTAAATTTTTTTCCCCACAATGAGTGCTCTAAATACCCCAAACAAAAGGAACAAAAAAGAGGAATTAGGAATTGTCTAAACCCTAACGAAAACAAACCATAAGAATTTGCAAAAGGAGTAGAAGTAGTAGTAGAGGAAGAAGAAGAATGAGAAAGACATTCAAAAACTAAAACTTGGCTGACCTTTTTTGGATGAAATTTCACACACGTACACAGACACATAAAATTTTAAATAAAATCCCAGTATATCATCAATAGGGAGGAGCTCTTCCTCCGCCGTTCCATCCTTCCACCGGCAAGTTAAGGAACGGCAACCCCGCCGCCGCCGCTGCAGCAGCAGCTCCGCCATCAGGAAACCCGCCGTGATTAACGCTCCCACCTCCGCCGCCGCCGTCCTCCTCTTCCTCCTCCAGCGGCAGCCGCTCGTACGCCACGTTGGTGAAAGACGAAGCTATAACGATAACCGGCCCAGCCGCGATCAGCTCGCCGACGACCGTCCCGCCGACCACCTGCCCCTGCCCTCCGGCCAGAAAGATCGTCAGGCTGGTCGCCCCGGGTGGCGCCGGCGGCGGAAGGAACGACCCGGACAGCGACAGGATCTCGAACGTCCCGTGGAGCTTCCCGACCCCCGCCGCCGCCGACGCTGCTCCGGCCGGCTGACGGATGCTGACGTTGGTCACCGTCCCCGCGCCGCTCAGCACGCAGATCCCGCGCTGCCGCCGCCGCGCATAGCTCGCCACGCACTCGAACACGTCGCACCCGCTGGCGACTTCGAGGATGTGGGCCCGGAGCGTGTTGGCGCTCTCCCTCGTTATGATCACGGGCGGCTTCGGCTTGTTCTTCGACCCCGGCGGCCTGCCACGTGGCCTCCTCGCCACGACGCCACCGTGGCTCCCTTGTCGAGGCTCGTCGTCGTCCTCATCCTCGTCCTGACGAGTTTGTTGGTGCTGGTGCTGGTCTGCTCCAGCTAGAAACGACAGGCCAGCACCACCACCACCCTGTAAAACTAGTCCGTAGTCTCCGCCACCACCACCAACGCTATTCAAATCGTGAAGGTAGTGGTGCTGGTGGGGACCTCCTTCTACGGAGGAGGGGTTGTGGAGATGGAGATCAGATGTGTGATGGTCGAGCTGATGGTGGATGAAACGAGGGGTTGTGCCTAAATCCAAACCGGCCATGGGAACAAGAGCATCAAAAGCTTGAAATGAGTATTAAAAAAAAAGGAGTGGAAGGGTTGAAAAAAGATTTAATAACACAAAAAACCAATGGGTGGGAAGAAGAGAGAGCAAGAACAGGATTGAAGTGAATATTTTGGCTTTGTTTTTGGGCTATTGATGAGATTGTTTATTTGGGGATTGGATTGTTTGATAAACTATGAGTTGAAGACTTTTAATATAAGGAAAGGAAAAGTTGGGAGCTCAAGAAAGCCATGGACAGAAGTGCAGAGGGGAAAGGAAGGGCAAAGGAAAGAAGTGAGAAGGAAGGAGGAGAGTAGTGAGAAAAAGAAGAGAAGAAATGAAGAGACTTGAGATTGCAGTATTTCTCTCTCTCTCTCTCCATTACACTAATATTTTTTTGTTAGTTTTCAGTTTTTAATATTGTTTTGTTGCTATCCTTTTGCCTTTGCATCTCATGTAGACAATTGTTTTTGGTTGTTTTAAGTACTCATTAGGTTTATTACAATATAATACACTATGTTAGAGCTTACATGTATCTTCTCCGTTTGCTCCACATCAGCATTATTGAGCTTTTTATCCTAAATCGTATTGCACCAAATGCTCACATTAAATCTTCTTGTTTTTTAGTGGCGAAGTTAGAAATAGTACTAGAGGCTAAAAGATTTAAATCTAAAATATTTGAGTTGTGATAGTTAGAAAGGGACTAAAACTTTTCCAATTAGTATATTTCTCAAATTTGTTATATATTCTACATGTATTTTAACTAACATTATAACGTTGAGCATTCATTTTAAAGTAAGGATTGCAAAATCGCATCATAACATACTGTACCACTAACTTTTTCAGTACAAACTCTGATACGATTTACAATCCTTACTTTAAAGTATATCTGCACTGCACCACCCAGTGAACTAACAGTAACACTTTAGGCGAATCCCACACCGACAAATCACAAGAGAGATTATGGTTCATAAGTAATAAACCGACATTAAATGATATTGAGGTAAAATGAAAGAATTCTTGTAATAACTCAGAAGTTAAATGTGCTCACTGTGGAGCAATATAAAGATGGGTGATCTTATGGGAAGTCACATCAACATACACCCCAAGACAAATTTCGTGAAAGTCTAGACTGGACAATATTTTACCAGAAAAAGTTTGAAATGTTACAGTAACTATTTATGCATCACCGGTTTAAGTTGGATACTCGATGCAGGAAAAAAAAAACTATAGAGGTGGTTAGGTTTCTCAAAAGTTAAGGAAAAATGAAATGGTTTTAGTTTTTCTTTTGGTAGCTTTAATTAATTAATTAATTATTATAAAGCTTAATGTACATACATGTTCCTCGATGCTCATTTGTTAAGGGAAAGGTTAGAGGTCGAGCATTACGATTAAGAAAATAATTAATATTTGATAACAATGTCAAATTGTCAATTAGATGTTGACATCGAGATTCCCCCCTTCTACTCGTAGCTCGTGAATTAGATGCCTGTTATATATCCCGTATAATAAACAATTTAACTTTAAGCTAACAACGTAGCTAAGATAAAAAAAAAAAAAAAAAAAAAATTTTGAGTTCAAATTCTTGTTAAGCAGAGCCAATTAATTAATGTAATCTCTTGGTTTGTTTTTCCTCTGACAAGGTAATCTCTAGTTTCAGATGAATACAATACACACACCATGTCGCGACCTTTGGTTTTTGTTTATCGATCTGTATGGGTAATGAATGAGCACTCATGTATTATATCATACTCCAAGGGATTTGATCGTTAAAAGTAATTTAAAAAATATTTTTATTTATTAAATTGATCTTTAAGTTTGGGTTTAGAAAATTTAGATGCGAATTTATCCATTAGATGTTAGGGTACAATATCATATATCAAATTCAATTTAATTCATGATCTAGTAGAAATATGTCATTAAAAGTAAAGGAAGTATAGTATACTTTAGGACTATAACAATTGATCGGTATATGTGTACGTATAGAACCTACTTCATAGACGATACATTTAGGATAGTGTGATGGGCTCAAAAGATTCCCATTTATTAATATGCAGTAGCTTAATTAATTGTATTTTCAAATATTTTAATTATTTTTCATAGTTCAAGTATATATTCGGGACTCAGTGGCAGAGAGAGGTAAGGAAGAGAGGCCCCTGTTTCAAAAGCATTAGTGTTAGTAAATTTTTAACGACCCCAGTGAACTCAATGTCTGGCTACGCAACTGATTCGGGTTCTACTGCCATCCCTATTTCCGAAGGAGGCCCCTGTTGTCATCGTGAGAGCATGATCTTTCTCCGTTGGTGTCGTTGGAAACGAGTGGAAGGAAAATGTTGGTTGACAAGGTTGTTGGTATGCTGGCGGTTGATGAAGAGGTGACACAATCTACTCCGGCCGGCAACTTGTCCTTCCGTTTTATATATTCTATCACTAGATATGTACTATAGGGACGACAGGGACAAATAATTGTGGCCGTCGTTAAGGAGTTTTGCCCTTCCAAACCGACAACTTAATCTTGGGAATTTCAACCAAACTAACAATGTAAATCCAATTTAAATAACAATTTTTAGTATATAAAAAAAATTGGTCAGTGATCCAATTTTCAACCGTTAAACCAAGAAAAGGGGAGGTGGGGGTGTTGATACGCAAAGGAGGACGAGAGTGATGAAGAAGAGGAGGGTTTATTTTATAATTTTGGTGTAAGTAGGGGGTGATATAATTATGATAACAGCATCTCACTTGACTAATCAAAGGAAAGTTTGTGTAATATGTATTTCGTGTAGCGTAATTAAACGGTGTTTATGGGCTGGCTATTTGAACAAAGATGGGGTTAGGAGTTAGGACAGTTGTTAATTGGAACTTTTGAGCTTGTCCAATCATGATACCCACGTCCACCATTACATTACAATATCAAACCTCTTTTGGCCAACCGTACGTATGTTGGGGTATTAAGAAAATGAGTGAGGGAAGGGGATTTAGATCCACAAATATTTATAAGCACACCTTTCGATATCGTTCGTTTTGGAGATGATATGTTCAGCCACAAAATACTTGTGAGTTGTGACTAAAATTCTTATGAAAATGATGGACTTTTTAATTTACCGATCTTGTTCGCACTTCGAAAGCATTTCAGTAAGTTTTCAGATGCTATCTGGTCAGCAATGTATAAAACCTGCCCTAACTAGTATGTGTCGTGCACTTTTTTTTTTAATAGTGCACATTCTTATTAAGAAGGAAGTATATATAGTTGTGATTTTGTAGACTGATCACTCTCTACATGTGATATTACAAGTGATGGCAACAGGGTAACTCAACAACCATGTCAGGTCAGCTCTCCACCAAGCATGGATCAGATCGGGTAACACCCGTTCAGGAACAAGTCGAATGTCGATCCGCTGTTGTAAGTTATTTAAACAAAGCGTTTATTTTTATGATAGAGATAGTAGCTAGATAGATCAATTGAATATAATTAGCTAAAAGATGAAGTCTTGTACTTATCTAAAGTATCACTGAGTAAATATTTGATCTAAGAAATATCAAAATATGAGAAATGCAAATAGTTATTGAGACATATTCAAACTGAAAGGAAAAAAGATGAGACGAGACAAAACGAGACATGACGGAAGAAATACTATATCGCGCCCCATGTACACTAATAAATTCCAATATTACTCACTTCAACACGAATCTGATTGAATAATATCCAGACATAAAAATTTCAAATTGCCATATAGATACGACCTTATCCTTTCAATAACTTCGTTATTCCCCTCCTTTGTTTTTTCTTTCTGTCCATATTCTCCCTTTAATCAAAACAAACCCTAGCGATGAGTGTGCACAATTATTAAGCTTTTGATCATTGATTTAGGGGTTTTGATTAATGGGAACAAATCGCTTTCGTTGATTAGGTGGAAAAATTGCAAGCGGATGGATGGGGGCAAGTTGTTGTTATTAGTTGATGCATGGTAGCAACGGCGGCCGGACCCCACCGTCCGGCAAGTCATTTTCTTTCTTCCCACGGACGGACGGCCGCTCATCCATCCCTAGCTTCTAGTCATCTCAACCTTCTTTTATTTCTTAATTAATTAGGTCAATAATTCATTAGTAAGAGCTATCTATGGATATAGATGGGTCGGATTAGGATTATCAAAATCAAATTATTTGAAGATTGAGACTCCACTTAAGTTAGTAAGAGCTATCTATGGATATAGAAATATTTGGGTAATTATTTATCATTTGATAGTTAAATCTCAGCTCATAAATTATCTAATTAATGATTGTGATTAAAAATCTTTGTCTAGTCTTTTTTAATGGGACGTCATATATTCATTTTAATTTCGTATTGGATGCATGACCGTGGGTTACTAACAGCATATGCTCTCTACATATGATAAAAGTAAAACTAGGTTTGTGAAACTATATCGGAGATTGTACTGGAAAAGTCAGAGGTAAGATATTTTATGGTGAAGTCGTGGTTTAGTCATAGTTCAATTCGTTAATACAGTTAAATACCGCCTACCACTTTAGTCTCTAATACTGGTATTTTGCGATTGACCAACCGGTACGGTACGGTTTCACAAAGCATGGGTAAAACCTAACCAGTCAATTCGAAGTTTACTATTACTGTTTTATAACATTAACTTATGGGGTTAAAGACACATTTGGTCACTAAGATTACTAAATCGGGACATGTTTAGTCACTAGAAAAAATTAATATCAATTTTAGTCACTCGAATTATTGAAACATGTCACATTTAGTCACTCTTCGTTAGTCCGTCCAACTCTGTTAATGAAGTACGTTAAGTGCTTATGTGGCAAACAGAATTGCCTAATCAGCCGGATATAACCCAACAAAAATAAAACCTGACCCGCCACGTCATTAAAACCAACCCAACCCATGACCCAACCCAAACCAACCCTTCTTCCTCCTTCCTCCCACCTCCTCCTTTCCCCAAAACCACCATCGTTGCCGCTCTCCTCCTTCCTCTTACCTCCTCCCGCAAACGTGTTCGCGCTTTGATTCCTGGTAGCTCCCGAGAACCCAAAATTTACCTCTTCCCGAAGGTTATCCCTCAAATCGACATTGTAGCTTAGCCGTCGAATCACCGAAACATTCCCCAAATATCCTGTCACCACAACGCTCAAATTTCGAAGAGTCGAATCGTAAGAAATCCAAGTATCGCTCTTATTCCCACCCATTATATCTCCTTCCCAAGGCAATGCAATCATGGATCGCATCGAATTGATGTCGATTCCG